TATTTTTTGCTAAGTCAGTTCATGTACTCTACTATTTAAGTGGCTGATTGCAGTGAATAAAAATATAGAAATTTTCCATCAGTTCTTATTCTTTTATATTTGTATCAGTGGTATCAGAGTCTTAGCTCTTAGTTTACTTCCTAGTGTTTTTCTGGGTAATAGCAAATAGTCTCTCTTAATGGCAACAGAGACTTTTGTGCAACTTGCTATACCTAGATTTGATGGTCACTATGATCATTGGAGTATGCTGATGGAAAATTTCCTGAGATCCAAAGAATATTGGACTCTCGTTGAAACTAGTATTCCACATTCAGATTCCAACACTTTGACAGATGCTCAAAAGGCAAAGCTGGAAGAACTACACTTGAAGGATATGAAAGTGAAAAATTACTTATTTCAAGCAATTGATCGGACAATCCTAGAGACTACTCTCTGCAAAGATACTTCAAAACAAATTTAGGATACGATGAAACAAAAGTATCAAGGCACTGCAAAAGTGCAGCGGGCTCAACTGCAAACACTTCGTAGCCAGTTGAGACTCTTCACATGGAACCGAAGGAGTCAATTGAGGAATATTTCTACAAAACCATGTCAATTGCAAATAAGATGAGAACATGTGGAGAAACGATGGCAAAAATTACCATCAATGAAAAGATTCTTCGATCACTAATCTCAAAGTTTGAACACGTGGTCTGTTCGATTGAGGAATCATAGGATTTTGATGCTCTTTTTGTTGAAGAGTTGATGAGTTCGCTGAGGGTCCATGAGCAGCGGATTAATCAGCATGTAGCAGTGGAGCAAGCACTGCAAATTCAACACTCATCCAACCAGCAATCTTCCCAACAAAAAGGTTGCAGTCGAGAAAAGGATATAAGCAACAACAGTGAACAATCCATACATGGTAATCAAGTTCTCGACTCCAAAGGCAAAGGTAAGAGACATCAAGGTGGAGACTAGGATTCAAAAGTATTTGACAAATCCAAAGTCAAATGCTACAGATGCCACATGTATGGTCATTATCGTTCTGAATGTAGGACAAAATTTTATAAAGAAAAAGGAGGAAAAACAGAAGCAAAATCAAATTTTGTAGAAAAGGAAGATGAGATTTCTCTTCTTATGGCTTGTAATACTGCTGAAAAGACCCATGAAAGAATGTGGTACTTAGACACAGGATCTAGTAACCATATGTGTGGAAACAAGTCTATATTCTCCAAATTAGATGAGTCTTATTGTTCCTCTGTCAAATTTGGAGATTATTCTACTATATCTGTTATAAGGAAGGGAAATATTCAAACCATCTCAGATGTATTTTATGTGCCAGGTTTAAACTAATCTATTGAGTGTAGGTCAACTTCAAGAAAAGAGATATGAGATCATCATTAAGGAAGGAGCCTGTCAAATTCATGATCCCAAGAAGGGTCTGATTGCTCAAGCTAATATGACCACAAATCGGATGTTTCCTTTGTACATCCAGAACGATCTCTTCCTTGTTTCTCTGCTATGGTGAAAGATGCAGCCTGGTTATGGCATTTTTGCTATGGACACTTGAACGTCCCTGGTTTGAAGCTGCTCTATCAAAAGAATATGGTGTCGGACTTCCAAAGATCAATCATCCTTCTCAAATTTGTGAAGAGTGTGTCCTCGGCAAACAACACCGTGATCATTTCCAGAAAGGACAAGCATGGAGAGCCACAAAGGTGTCAGAGTTGGTGCATTATGATATTTTTTGGTCTATTTGATCCTCCATCCACTGGTGGTAAGAGATACTTCATTACGTTTATTAATGACTTTAGTCGAAAAACATGGATCTACTTCTTGCAGGAAAAATATGAAGCTTTCCTAGCATTGAAAAGCTTTAAAGCTCTTGTTGAGAAGGAAGCCGGGAGAGCTATTAAAATTCTTCGAACTAACCGTGGCGAAGAACACACCTCACGGGAATTTGCAAATTTCTGTGAAATGCATGGAATCAAAAGGCAGCTTACAACATCCTACACCCCATAAAAAAATGGGATTGTGGAAAGGAAAAATTGCACAATCCTAAATATGGTGTGTAGTATGCTGCTCAGAACACCTCTTTCCAAGAGGTGTTGGCCCGAGACAGTCCTATGGAGTATTCATCTCTTAAATCGNACCCCATAAAAAAATGGGATTGTGGAAAGGAAAAATTGCACAATCCTAAATATGGTGCGTAGTATGCTGCTCAGAACACCTCTTTCCAAGAGGTGTTGGCCCGAGACAGTCCTATGGAGTATTCATCTCTTAAATCGGAGTCCCACTGTTGTTGTTCAGAATAGGACGCCTGAAGAAGCATGGAGTGGCAGAAGACCGAGTGTTGATCACTTGAGAATCTTTGGGTACATTGCATATGCGCATGTTCCTGACGTGAAAATAGAAAAAGCTTGATGATAAAGGGGAGAAGTGTATTTTTCTTTAAGTCAATGAACATTCAAAGGCCTATAAGTTGTATAATCCCATCACCAAGAAAATCATCATTAGCCGGGATGTAATCTTTGATGAAGAGAAGACGTGGACAGAAGCTGATAATGGTACTGCCCAGGACATTCCTGTGAGCTTTGATGATGAGGTTGAAGAAAGAAATTCTCAACTTACAATTGATGAAGAACCACCATTGTTGTCTGATGGAGATCAGCCTGAACTTGCAACATCATCTCGTCCTCAACGGTCCAAAAGGAGACCAAATTGAATGCAAGATTTTGAGGTAAATGGGCTTGGTCAATTGGATGATCCACTTATGCATTTTTCCCTATTTGCAGATTGTGATCCGGTTTCATTTGAAGATGTTGTTAAAGAGCCAAAGTGGCAAAAAGCCCTGGATGAAGAGATGACAGCCATTGAGAAGAATAACACTTGGGAATTGACGGATCTTCCCAAAGAACAGAAGTTAATTGGTGTCAAGTGGGTCTACAAAACAAAGGTGAATGTGGAAGGAAAAGTTGATAAGTACAAAGCCTGCCTAGTTGTAAAAGGCTACAAGCAGAAATATGGCATCAACTACAAAGAAGTTTTTGCTCCAGTTTCAAGACATGATACCATTAGATTGGTACTTGCAATGGCAACACAAAACTCTTGACTCATCTTCCAGTTAGATGTAAAGTCTGCATTTTTACATGGAGATTTGCAAAAACAAGTATATGTGGATCAACCTCGAGGTTATGTGCAACATGGAAACATGCAGAAAGTCTACAAGTTAAGAAAGGCTCTATATGGACTAAAACAAGCACGTTGAGCTTGGTTCAGCCGCATCGCTGCTTATTTTTCAAGGTCAGGCTTTCACCAATGTTCATATGAGCATACTTTATTTATTAAATCTATCCTTGCTGGTTAGTTACTAATAGTATGCCTATAGGTGGATGATTTAATTTTCACTAGAAATAATAGTGCCATGTTTGATGAGTTCAAAGCATCGATTATGACTGAGTTTGATATGTCTGATCTTGGAAAAATATGTTCGAGAGGTTTTGGACAGGTTTCAAATGGCAAATTCCAATTCGGTTGGTACACTAGTTGAACTTGGCTTGAAGCTAAGCAAAGATCATGAAGGCAAGATGGTTGACAAGACTCTATACAAGCAAATTGTGGGGAGTCTTATGTATTTAACTATAACTAGGCCAGATATAATGCATGCAGTCAGTCTTATCAGTAGATGCATGGAACATCCCACAGAGTTGCATCTCCTTGCAGCCAAAAGGATCTTTCGGTACTTGCAAGTAACGAGAGACTTTGGCTTACTCTACAAGAAAGGAGAAAATTCTGGTTTATTTAGTTTCACTAACAGTGATTATGCAGGTGATAGAAAGAGCACCTCAGGATATGTTTTCATGTTGGGATCAAGTGATGTGTCTTGGTCATCAAAGAAGCAACAAATTGTCACTTTGTCCACCACCGAAGCTGAATTCGTTACAGCTGCATCATGTGCATCTCAAGCAATTTGGTTGAGAAGACTTCTTGAAGAATTACACTTTCAGGAACAAGGCTCGACTCCAATCTACCATGATAGTAGTTCAGCAATTAAACTTTCAAAAAATCCAGTTCTACATGGAAGAAGCAAGCCTATAGATGTGCGATATCACTTCTTACGCGATCTCGCAAAGGATGAAACCATTGATTTGATATTTTGCAGAAGTGAAGATCAAGTTGATGATATTCTCACTAAACCCCTCAAATTGGGCCTGTTTGTAAAGCTGAGAAGATTGCTTAGTGTTTGTTCTATGGAGAATACAGTTTGAGGGAGCTATTTCCAGAAGTTGAGAAGGACAAGTTGCCAACTCTTTCTAAACTGAATTTCAGAGAGCATTCAGTTTAAGGGAGGGTGTTAAGAATTCATTTTAATTTCAGAATAAGTCTTTGTTTGCCAAGTTTTTAGGAGTCAATTTCCTAGTCTTTAGAAGTATCTAAGTAGAATAATCAATTGTAACCACTTGTGTTAGTTTGTATTTTTTAGCTTCTACTATGAAGTCTGTTGCTTATTTTTCGCTAAGTCAGTTCATGTACTCTGCTATTTAAGTGGCTGATTGCAGTGAATAAAAATATAGAAAGTTTCCATCAGTTCTTATCCTTTTATATTTGTATCACCTAATTGATAATAATTGAATTAAACTGGTGACAGAGCTCATATGTGGTGATCTAATGATCGGATGCTCATTCGATCATCGAGTAGCCGACGCTTATTCAGCCAACATGTTCTTTGTTGTGTGGGCACAGATTGCTTGAGGAAAATCTGTATCTCACACTCCAATTTTCAGGCGCTCAATGCTTAATCCACAACACCCAGGTCAATACGACAAAGCTATTGATGATATGTACGCTTTTTGTCATCGTTGCCACCACCACCACCAAAAGATCTCAAGCCCAATGATCATCTCATTAGTCGAATCTACTATATCCCAGCCGAGGAAATCGACTGCCTCCAATCCAATGCCAGTTCCAATGGATCCAAGAGAAGCAAACTTGAGTCTTTCTCGGCCTTCCTGTGGAAGATCATGGCCGAAGGGGGCCATGATCATAGCAAGAAATGCAAAATGGGTATTGTAGTGGATGGACTCGGGAGGTTAGACAGAGCTTTGTCATTGGAGAATTATTTAGGAAACCTTGTTTCCATTCCATCTGATGAGGCAAGGGTAGGTGAGTTACGATTATGGTACCGATGAGTTACTTTTTTATGATAAACTTAAAGTTATTACCAAAATAAGGTTGGGGGTATGATTCAATTAGGTGAAGTTGCAATAAGATAGAATTGTATTTGAGATTGATTCTAACATTTAGAATCAATGCTAACTTTACAAATTAGTACTTTGTTTGCATTGAATAGTGCACGTCTTTTTTAGTTGTAACTTACTTTCAACAACTTCATATATTTCGGTAGGATAACGAACTTATTATTTTACTCGTTTCCATAGGTGAAATCAAGATGATGGCGCTCAATCAGGTTGCAGATGTTGTCCACAAATGTGTGGAAGGTGCCAAGGAGGAACATTTTCTCGGACTGATTGATTGGGTGGAGTTGCATCGACCAAAGCAAATAGTAGCAAAGGTATATTTCAAAGAGAGCAATGATGAAGCAACGGTTGTCGTGTCATCCGGACAACGCTTTATAGTGTCAGAGATGGACTTTGGAGGGGGACGACCGGATTTCGGGTCGTACTATTTCCCATGGGGTGGCCAGACTGGGTATGTGATGCCCATGCAGAGTATAAGCAGGGAAGGAGATTGGGTTGTGTTCATGCACCTCCCTGAAAAGCATTTGGATTTGGTTGAGAAGGAGGCATCTCATGTGTTTAGGCCCGTAACTCCTGCTTATCTAAAATTCAGAGATGACTACTAAAAGTGAGATGATAAATGTATGACATTTCATGCAGTTTGTCATAAATATATAGATTTCGCTTTTGTATTCTTAAATTATGTCGCATCTAAGTGATAATAAAAGAGTTCTTACCTTCTCCAATCTAAGTCTCTTCCTTTATATTTGTGTGTGTGCGTGTGTGTCCTCTCTGGTCCAACACAAACAATACAGTATGAATTGATATCCTCTAAATTCATGGGGGGTGAGGTTTACCCAACTATACATACATACATACATATATATATGTGGGTGTGTGTGTGTGTGTGTGTGGTTCATAGTAACCGTTAGCTGGCTCTCCTCAGAAAACTAAATAATATGAGTTGTTTTACAAAACCCACTTGGTCGTGAGGTGAGGGAGGGGGTGGGGGAGGGGGTGAGGAGACAAAGAAATAAGTAAAAACAAAACCATATGGATGAAGTTATTCTCGACCTATAAATCTTTATTTTTATCCCATTTGATTTCTCATTATCAAACTAAAGTTCACTCTTTTTATATTCACTTCATTAGTAACTAAGTCCACCTCATGATACATTCACCCCAGTAAGAATTAATGTTAAATGTCTTCAACTCATTTAACAAGTATATCCTCACTTATTTCCAACCATATAGAATCCTNACTCTTTTTATATTCACTTCATTAGTAACTAAGTCCACCTCATGATACATTCACCCCGGTAAGAATCAATGTTAAATGTCTTCAACTCATTTAACAAGTATATCCTCACTTATTTCCAACCATATAGAATCCTCCATCTCCAAGAATTGAGTAAACACCCGAACTCTCAATGTCCATCTCATGGGACATCAATGACATTAGCAATAAAAAGAGTTATTATATCTGGGAATTGTGTTGCATACCTCATACTATTGGAATTTCTAGTCTGATAATCTCACACACACGGAATCTATCAAAGCCCAAAAGAAACACAAGAAAGTACGACATCAAAAAAAAAAAGAAAAAGAAGTCATTGTAAGAAAAAAATAATGAAATGAGACAATTAACTTGAGTTTATAAATATACTTAGGAAACAAGAAGAAGAAGAAAAAAAAAACAAGCAAAACTGAAACNAAATGAGACAATTAACTTGAGTTTATAAATATACTTAGGAAACAAGAAGAAGAAGAAGAAAAAACAAGCAAAACTGAAATAAGAAAAAAGAAAAGAATGAAAAAATTAAAAAAAAAAAAGAGTGAAAGAAACATACCAAAACAGGAAAAAAGAAAAGAACAAAACAAGGAAGAAAAAGAAGAAAAAAAAAAGCAAATCGAAACAATAAAGCAAAAAATAAATAAATAAATAAAACAAAACAAAGATTAAAATAACAAGCAAAACTATAAGATGCAAAACCACAAGACGCGAAATCAAAAATGATAAAAACAAGTATCAACCACAAACATAAAATTGAACAAGAAAAAAAGTAAGTATAAATATAAAACCTAAACAAAATAAAAAAAAGAACAAATAATCTAAAAGTACACATATATATACACACATAAATTTTAATAAAAATTTATTAAAATTGACAGAGATATCAAAATATATTAAAACTAATAAAAATTCATACAACAAACATGAAATCAAACATAGAATTAAATTGAGAAATAATATTAATATGTATCTCACTGAAAAAAGTGTTTTTGTAAGTGCATGAGAAGAGATAAAGAATGAAACCATAATTATGACAAAATATAAAGTGAGTTTATTTATTAAATAGGTGTATGTAGCATGCAGTGAGCTTAGTTATTAATTGAAGGGTATAAAAGAGATGGACTTGATAGTTTGATAATAAAAAATTAAATGAGGTGGAAATGGAGATTACCATATTTATGTTGTCAAAAAATACCAAATTTATCTATATTGTTCAGTGATTAAAATATTTTTTATTCTTTTAGGGTTAAGCAGAATGTTTCATTTTCAAAGTTTTTTTTTCTTATTTCAACTTTTGGTTATGGATGGAAAACTATAATTTTTGAGTAAATTTCATTGACACTCTTTGGATTTAAGTTATATTTCATTGACACCCCCTCTAATTTCTGAAATATCACTGCACAACCCTGTAATTTATAGCCACGTTTCACAATTTTTTTTTTTCTTTATTCTTTCTTGAACTGTTTCACAAATTACCCCTGTCATCTAATGCATTACAGAGAAGCAAAAAAAAGGTGTAATGTGAGTTATCACATTTATCCTTGGTCATATAAAACAAGCTTAAAGTAGTAGGAAACATCCTTTTAATATTAATTTAATTAAATTAAATGCTAATTAGATTTAATAGAATGTTTCCTACAAAAAAATAGATCAAACAAAATGTTAATTTTAAAAAATAATATTAATTTGATAAAACTAAATATTAAATTTTAAAAATTGAATGTTAATTTTATAAAATTGAATGATCATTTGGTATTGATTATATGAAATTAAAAGTTAATTTAAAATTAAATCAAAAAAATGATGTTAGTTTGATAAAATTGGATGTTAAATTTATAAACTTAAATGTTAATTTGGGGTTAATTTGATGAAATGGAATATTGATTTGGTGTTAATTTTACAAAACTAAATATCAATTTGATGAGATTGAACATTAGTTTGCTAAAATGAAATAATTATTTTATAAAATTTAAGATGAATTTCACGTTAATTTGGTAAAATCTTGTATTAGTTTGTTGAAATTTAATGTTAATTTGCTAAAATTGATAGTTAATTTAGTGTTAATTAGATCAAATTGAAAATTAATTTGGTAGTTAATTTGATGAAGTTTAATGTAATTTTGATAAAATTGAATGTTAATTTAGTTTTATGAAATTGAATATTAATTTGGTATTAGTTTAATAAAATTGAATATTAGTTGGATGAATTGAATGCTAATTTAATGAAAGTGAATATTAATTTGACAAAATTTAGTGTTAATTTAATGAAATTGAATATTAATTTAGTGTTAATTTAATAAAATTAAATATTAATCAAACAAAATTAATGGTTAATTTAATTTTAATTGATTAAAATATAAATTAATTTTGTATTAATTTGAGAAAATGTAATTAAGTAAAATGAGAGTTCTGGTATAGGTAATTTAGTAAAATTATGTATTTTGTTCGGTTTGTTAACAACAAAAATTGATAGGAGTATGCAGTGATATTTCAAAAATTAGAGGGGGTGTCAATGAAATATAACTTAATTTCTAGGGGGTGTCAATAAAATTTACCCATAATTTTTTCACACCTGCCTCTATGTTAAATTGAACAACTCAAAAATATAATAAGTAATTATTTCAAAATTATTATCCACAGAATTAGTATATGGTTTTGTTATATCGTGAAAGTGATTTGCCAAAAACACTTTTAACAAAATGTTAGTGTAGAAGGAAATTATATCAGTTTAAAGAAAGTCATTTTATGTATCTCAAATACTTAAATTGTCCCCTTTTTCACTTGCCAGAATTTAATTTTCCGAACATTAAGAATATTTTCTCCAAATTAAGTAGTTCTCAACGTTTTTTTAGTGAAATTGTTGGTAGAATAAACGAACAACAAAATAAACTACTAGGGAGAATTTTACCTCAGACCTCTTCAATGAGGCAATGCAAAATATATATAGATTTCTTTTTTCTTCTTCTCTTTTTGGTGTAATAGAGATGTTTTGAATTGAATCCAAATGGTCTGGCTTCCGATAAGCCGCTTTTTAGTAGCGTATCTTTATTTTTCAACCAATAAAATTTTAACACGTTTAAAAATACTTGATTTTGTCTGTATATTATTATTTTTTTCGATCAATGATTACAAATTATTCAAATTAAAATCAACTGCTGGAGATGGATTTTGAGATGATACTAATTTGGCATCATAGCCTTACTCAAATGCAAATATGAATGTTTGCACGCTAGTGGAGAATTTTCGGCTCTTACTCCTTTTTAGATCTAAATTAAAATTTGAGTAAAAATAATGCAAAAAACTTTTCGAATCATATACCCAAAGTCATACCAATTTAAGAAAGACTTAATTTTTTTAGTCAAATTACCAATGGTCAGATGTCATTATCTTTTAAAGATTTAATAATCACATTTCACCCTCTTTAAATTTGAATTTATTCATATCAAACTTTTTCCTAAAATGTTGATACCAATTTAAATCAAAATTAGAGATACTATTAATTAAATATCAAAATTTATAGCCTAAAATTATGGGTCCATTCAATAACGATAACTCTGACAACTCAAGTTTACCTAAAGACATTAGAATCATGTTATCGTAAAATTATAATAGAAAGTTCCAAGATGGGTACCACTTTCACTTACTCATGCACAGCTGCCGAATGCTTGGCCTATTTCCATACCATTGGCTTACTCCAATTAAATATTTTGACAAAAAAGTAGAAATTTAGAAAATTGATATATACAACTGTTTCGTGCATTTGTTAAGTTCAAGCACGGACGAAATCAATCAATATTGGTGAGAAGCCCATCACTTTCACCTTAAAAAATCTGTTTTTTAAGTTTATATAACATTACTCTTTCATAAGATACAGTGACACCGGATCAACTTATACCTCCATTAAGATTCTACATAGATTGGTGTCTCTAACTTGCTTGGGGAACCCTCGTAGGTCTAATTTGCATAAATGAAATCTTACAGTTATTAGAGACGTATGGTAAACAAGTTGTTTTTAGTTGATGTTCATGTTATGTTTTATCAAATCTATGTTGAACAAGTTGTTTTTAGTTGATGTTCATGTTATGTTTTATCAAATCTTTGTTGACTTAATTTTTTTAAGGGACCAACCACACACTTATCTGCTGAACATGACGTGCCTATCATTTACTCCCAAATTTGTTAAAGCTAAATCGAAACCCACAAATCTCGTATCAATTATCAATTTTGTATAAGTTCATAATTGTATATATAATTATCATGCTCATAATCAAAGTTTTTATCTAGCTGATTCATTATAATTCAATGAAAGAGATGACTGAGCTTAGATGTGGTAGAGTGGACACAAATTGTTTGAAGAAAACCTGTATCTCACTCTTCAATTTTTTGACGCTCAAGTCAGTATGACAAGGTCATTGATGATATGTACGTTTTTCTGTCATCGCTGCCACCACCACCAAAAGATCTAGAGTCCCGTGAAGATCACCTCATTAGTCGCATCTACTACATCACATCCGAGGGAGTCGAGCGCCTCCAATCGGAGGCCAGTTCCAACGGTTGCAGGAGAAGCAAACTTGAGTCTTTCACAGCCTTTCAATGGAACATTGTGGCCAGGGGGGTGATGACCATAGCAAGAGATGAAAGATGGGCATTGTGGTGGATCAGGGATAGAACATTTTCTTGGGCTAGTCGATTGGGTCGATTTACATCAACCAAAGCAAGTCATAGTAAAGAGAGTAATATTTTACAGACCTAATGAGAGATGGATTTTAGATGGGACGACCCGATTTTGGATCGTATCATTTCCCATGGGCTGGACGGACTGGGTTTGTGTCAGTTCCTAGTATGACCAGGGAAGGATATATATTGGGTTTTGTGTACATGCACCTTCTTGAAAAGCACTTGGATTTGGTTGAGGAGGCATCCCATGTGTTTATGCCCTTATCATCTCTCTCTCTCTCTCTCTCTCTCTCTCTCACATAATGCAATCAATTCTAAACGTTAGCAGATCACCTCATTAGCAAAGTCTTTTAAGCTTCTCAGGAGCTTGGGATGATCTCCACTTCTTTTTCAGGCATTGAAACAACTGAAAATTCCTTCGGCCTTACACTTAAACTCTCAAAACAAATATACACTTAACCTTTTACAGTGTTCCAACATGTTTGGCAGCAAAGCATGTCACAGGTCCGTCGTATCATGTTCTAAGATGTCACGAAACAACAACGCATTATTATCTGACCCAAATGAGTATTAGAATCTCGCTGGGGGCTCTTCAATTCATCATAATCACTCAGACTTATGTTATTCCGTAAATCAAGTCTATTAATTTTAACATTTTCAAACAACAGATTATATCCAAGCTATCATATATATCACATGCTACATCAAAGAATCTATCTCAGTTTTGGTCTCATCATTTGTCCTATCCCCTTAAATTTTGTATCCCAGCGTTCGAAGAAATAACTAACAATGTCTCACTCTACAATAGATGCCGAATAAACTTTACAGATCACAACTTCATGATGGTCTCACTTGCTTTATCAATTCCTTCATACACCTATATCCAATCTGATATTTATTCGATGTATAACCTTAGTGATGCCAAATGACTAGTGGATTGTTACTTTGTGTGTTGTCTCATCACCAAGAGTACTTTTCAAGTCAAATTTGATCGCTCTCAATCTCAATTGACCGGCATCTTCATGATATCTTGTATAACTAGATTAGTTCATGTATATCATGAATGTATTTGTAACTCATCACGATATAAGTGCAAAATCTCTAACCTATTTATTGGGTGAGCAATTGAAATATGTCTTATTGAGTAATGATATTAGATTAGGGTCTTAGGTTCAATAAGTATTTCTCTTTCTTATCCCTTAATCCAACGTAGTATCATAGCCTTAAGGTTTAAGGTTCAAATTACAACCAGCAACACCTCTCTTACTAAACGATATAATGTAAAAGAGAGTAATATATAAATACTTAAATTCCATCATTCTCTGCCGTTCGCCTTTGGAATAGTTGGTGATTAATACATGTACCCCAGCTTGAGGGCAAGCAAAGTGCACTAGCTTATGTGTTGTTTGATAGTGTTTTTAAGTACCTTTTTAACAAGTATAGTTTGTTTTTTATTTTTAATTCTATATTTTATGATCTATATGGATTTGATCATCTCTATGATTTGATTTTTCAATAGCCAAAAACTAAAGTTTTGGGCTTGCGAGAGGCCAATGTACTAGGGCTCATACCCAAATAGGGGCTTTGATTTGAATGAATGAATGAATGAGGAACGAAAAAGTAATAATACATTTTCTTAATTGTTTACCAAAATCAAATTTTGGCTTATAAAAAGTTACTTGAAAAACGTTGCCAAACAGTACATTAAACTCCAAAATAATGTTACAATGTTCAATCTCTTCTTCAACATTCTTGTATTGTACTTACCCGGAAAAAAAATCCTAGTATGGTAATTGTAAGCCAATAGGCATTCGACACATTGGGTTTGATATAGGTGGACATAGGTGCTAGTATTATCAACCAGTGGCTTTGTAATATGATGCCCAGCATCTAGCAGACAGGAATGGAATGAAAATGTAAACTTTTCCTTTAGCAACCCCACAATGTGGAAGATGGACCCTTTTGTATGTTGCTTTGATTGAGTTACTTGAGAGAGCTTATGAAAGAGAATCTTGGAAGTTCATGTGTCAAAGCTAGATTCAATATGTACCAATTGCTAGATTGAACCTGCACTTTGGCAATCAATGCAATGCAATGTACCTTATAGCTTTGGCTTGGGTGAAACTGCATTTTGGCAAGCAGTGCATGTATATACCTTAATGTCTATGAAACTAGAAGCATCTGAACCTGCATTTTGGAAAGCACTAGTGCACCACTACTTGTCTGTACTACANCATATACTTAGTTTAAACAAATCTTATATAATAAATGGTATTAAATGAGACGTGATTGATATTAATTTCTATAACGATCGGACTATCCCTAATAGAGAGCGATTCATGCATCAGTATAGGCTTTTTTTTTAAGAGTTACNTGAACCTGCATTTTGGAAAGCACTAGTGCACCACTACTTGTCTGTACTACAAAATAATTTGTCTGTATCTTACTAGAATATCGATTTCGTCAAGGAATTAAACAAACCAAATGACGTAGCACTAACATGGTGAAAACATTTGGACTTTGAATAAGTATTATTATTTTCTTCGATCTTTGTCTAGTCAACTTACCATTGGTTCAGATAAAAATAAATAAAAAATTACACGNGGCCATATACTTAGTTTAAACAAATCTTATATAATAAATGGTATTAAATGAGACGTGATTTATATTAATTTCTATAACGATCGGACTATCCCTAATAGAGAGCGATTCATGCATCAGTATAGGCTTTTTTTTTAAGAGTTAGNATTATTATTTTCTTCGATCTTTGTCTGGTCAACTTACCATTGGTTCAGATAAAAATAAATAAAAAATTACACATGTCACATCCTCATTGAAATGATATCAAAATGTAGTTTTCCAAAATGGTAGTACTACCCCAATGGCTATGGCATCTAAAGGTGCATTTTGGCAATGGTGCATGTACCTTATGCCTATGGAAGCATCTGAACCTGCAGTTTGGAAAGCAGTGCAACTACCTTATACATATTATATGACTATAGATATATTCCTCTCTCTCCCCCCCCCCCCCCCCNAAATCAGATATAAGCCAACTCACTCTAAGAAATCCACCAAATAGATAAGGAGCAAAACTCGTCACCAACTGATAATCTACCAAAAGGGATACACTGGTTTAGCCTTAACCAATTCTGGTGTAAACCATCTATTAGTCTGGTTTCGATTTTTGGATCGATTTTAAAACAATGGGTTTGCATATCCAAATCTTGATCCAAAAAAGATATAAGTTAACTAGGATAAAATAATAATCTAATTATTACAGCATGAATAGATTATATTGAAATTGATTGTCCAATCTCATCCTATATTATACCTAAATCAATCATGTCAATACAATATATATGGTGAAAAGTAGATGATTGGCGGCCACTTCTAATCCCTAATTGGTTGAAAAACGATTCTTCGAAGAATTCGATTGGAGCCTACAGCTCTTATTATGCCATGTTCCTGTCAGCTTTTGATATTGACATTACTTTTTCTTTTTCTTTTCCTTTTTGTTGAGATTGGAAACTTATACATATCCGAATTTAGGTAGATAATTTTAATAGATAATTAAGGGTGAAGATTGAGATCTTCTCAGGCATATTGTTTTTCAATTTAAGTCAATGGTAGATTATTCACTATAATGGATGAGGGATCCATCAATAGGACTGATAATCAAACCGAGTTACTTAAATTCGAGTTTGACTCGTTTTCTAAACAAGCTTAAAATGATTGAGTTACTCGAACTTGACTCAAGGTCGGCTCATTTTCTAAACGAGTCGAGCTTAAACAATTTTTTAAGTACATGTAAAAAATCGATATTAACAGGCTCAACTCGATTATCATCCCTAAGTCCACCAGGTCCCATGTGTATTAATAGTAGATGATTTACTATGAAAATGTTCGTATTGAAATGTATATGGATAGTCCTTTACTTTAAAATGATTGGAATAAAATATGGACATAAAAATACAAAATAAAAATAATATGAGGGTCATCAAGGAATGCATTAATAATAAGTACTATTTTCTTTTGAGGCACTTTTCTTTTAATTTGTATACTCCTATACATTGAATTCCATTAAAAAAAAAAAAAGATTTCCAAATTTAAAAAAAAAAAACGAATATGTGAGTGTGTGGATAAAGTAAGAGAGACTTGAGTTACTTGGTGGTAACAGGTAAAGAGTTGTTTTTAACAAATTACTTGCATTCAAATCCAAAAATTCACGTCAAAATAATTAATTTGTTAAACCAATAGGAAATGTGTAGATGAGACAAGTGGAACTTGGAACTAGTATTATCTAACCTTTGAATTAAATAGAAATCTTGGAACTCTCACATGCACAAGGGTGGTACTAGCAGATGGGATGAGGATTTCTAAAATCTACGAACTTTGATGGGCCTAGTCCACGACCCAGGTAGTGAGTCGCCTAAATGAGATAAAATATTATTTAGTATTAAATCAAATTTTTAATATTTTATTTAATTATTTTCTATCATTACTTCTATATTAAAATTTCAACTGTTGAATATCAAAAATCTCCAGCGGCTAGTATTCTAACAGCCATATTTTTGAGTTATTATCCAATTAAATATAAAAATAATTACAGCCTATTAAACACATATTATTTGTATATATATACATATTTTCAGTATAGATGTATACAATCTGATATCAACTATCTTCGTAATATATAATTTTCTTGGCAATATTCAAAGGTATATGAAAGGTTTTTATTTCATTCGATTGCGTACATCTGAGTGAAGTAACAATCAATAGGTTGAGCTATTATATCCTAGGGATGACGCATTATTGTCTTCTGCACTGTGATTCTTTCATAAAGGTGCGCGAATTGTCTTAAGAGAGCGACCTATTCCACATCTCACCATGTCATTCACTTTATTTGCATCTAATTTTTCAACACTTTCATTCAATTTTTATTTCTTATACATATTTGACTTCTAAATTCTTTTAAACTCTTTTATTAATAGTATCTATTTTAAAATTCTTTTTGACTCATTTATTTGTAGTACACTTGCATACAATTTTCTATACCTATGTTAATTTCAATCTATA